TCACCCTTTTTACTGCGATTGTCAGAGCACTGAAAGAGCAATTGAAATTATTACAGATATCCCTTTGTTTCCTCCCAGATCCAATACAACGTAATCTTGTTCATCTTGGATAATAATGTCAAGTCATTAGCTCACCAATAATTCACCTTGCGCCGAGTGCCGTGACTTGGCAAAGAGCAGGCTGCGCTCTTCAGGTGGCCAAAGCCTGAGCATCTCCTGGCCAGCCCACTGCCCCCTGCTGCTGTGCAGGTCCCCCGCGAGCAGCCAAGGGTGGGCTGCCCCCAGGCAGGGCTCATGCACGCAGGGCCAGCTTGCTTTCAAATCCTGCTCCGTTTTACAGCAGGGACAGCCATGCTATGCTGCTCCTTGCATGATGAAAGAAAAAAAAAAAAAAAAGAAGGCACCCTTGTAAATGACCTAATGCTTTTAAAAACTCACCATGGCAGGAACAGGGGTATCTCAAAATATTTTAATTAAATGAGCTCAGAATTACACCAGGCGCTCTACACAAATAACTGGCCAAATGCATCAATTTTCACACCAGTCCAACTGTGCATGTGGCTTGCAGAAGATGCAAAGCCTTGCTTTAAACAGGCTTGTTGAAATTCAGCAGTTTTGCCAATTTGCTAAAATAGAGCTCAGCTATGCAAAGCAGAAGTCCCACAAAATCAGATGTACCTGACAGAGTAGGAGGTGTAGAGAAGCTAGATTCTAAAGTGCTCGAAATGCCTCCTTGTTTTCAGCCTGCAAAACTCAGCTGGACGCTTCCCAGAAACAGGCTTGCAGAAGACTTCCACAGAAGCAGTTTTTAAGAAGTGCCTATATAGGATTTAATCATTTCTGTCATCAAAGAAAACCTGGATTAAAGCTGCACTCAGCAATCCAAGTAGCAAAAAAATGATGATTCCAAATTCTCTAGAACGACCAACACCAAGCCCCAGCCAGGTAGCACTGGCTGCACTGGAGACATGCCAGGAGCACAGAGAGGAAAGCATTTGCATATATTTACATCATGACAACATAAAAAATATACAGTTATTGTTATCATTTAGGGCCCCATGTGCTCAGCCATTCTGGGGCAGGGGGGGAAAAAAAGGAGAAAAGAAAGGATGTCTTGCAGCTAGCTCAGGCACTTTAAACTGAAATCTTCAACAACTCATAGTCTTTATGGTTGGGAAGATGCATCAGCTGGGCTCTTGTTCTCCAGTACCATAACATCCTCTTCAGTAACCGATGGATGTATGACCCGTCCCAGACCACTCTCATGAGCTCCCATCTGAATTTCTCAAGCTTTGCCCGTGACTGGCACAGAGCAGAATGCCACTGTGGCCTATGGGCTGCTGCTTCCCAGGAGAGCCTGGGCAAGGAAGCTTCCCTGGGCTTACACCAACAGGACAGGCTGGCTGCAGCTCTAATGACCATTTAATGACTGTTGGGCTTGGGACTTTCTGATATTCAGGTGCCCATGGGTAACTATGTGGACTTACGGATCGGTTTCTCATACCTTGCATCCAGAGGAGCAAAGGAGCATTGTGAAGGCTAACCTACCCCAGCAGTTTAGGGCATGAAGCAACACGGAACGGGTCACCCTGTTTTGGGATGAGGAGGAGAAGAGGTTCAGTTATACAAACATAAGCCCAAACGCTTGCCAGGAAAACAAGCCCTGGGCTATTGTATTTATTAGTACTGATGTGGCCATTGGTGCTCTGCAAGAAAGCCAGAAGATGTAGGCTTTGGAGGAAAACTGCAGCAAATGCTCACAAAATTGCTGTCCAAGTGCATCCTTGGCACGGCTAATGTCTCGTTCCACCAAGTCCTTTCAGGGCCAGGGATTTGTACCAAGACACAGAGCAAGACAGGACTGTGTCCCCAGCAAGCCCAGCCGAAGGAGGGAGGCAGAGGCAGCCAGCTGAGCACTTCCCTGTCCCTTCTTGCCCCTGAGCTGCAAGAATCCCGGGAATTCTCCAACATCCTCCTGCTTCTAGACAGAAACCCTCTCTCTGGCCAGCACCATGAGGATGGCCATGCCACTGCCAGCCCTTCAGCAGGGGAGAGGAAGGAGATGGCATCCCTGCCCTGTGACACCAACTCCACGTGTAAAGTCCCTCTCAACCCAGAACCACAAAAGGGACCAGATTTGGGCTTAATATATACGCCTTGCTCTGGTGGAGCCGTTCTGCCCACGGCCATTGCTCTGCTTTGCTCTCAGGAGAGTGGCAGCAGGGTGGCAGAGCCCAGGCGGAACAGGAATCCCAGCAATGCCGGCTATGCCGTGTCCTCCTCTTTGCCCCCAAAGGGTCAGGTCTCCATCTAAACAGGAAGCTGGGATCAGCCAGGCCTGCGTCGCTTGCCCTCCAAGTCCCAGCTGCCGGGGAGGAGAGGGGAGGCAGCGCTGCAGGAGCTGCTGCTGCTCGTGGCCCCATCCCTCCCTGCTCCCAGCCCAGTGCAGGCAGTTATGGGGGGCTTCCAGGGTGCTCTCCCCCTCAAGACCCCTGCTGTCAGGCAGGGTGCTTTCCTCACTTCTTTGCAGGATCTTTGGGTTTTTTTTATTTTTTAGTAAATAGAGGCAAAGCCCAGTGAGCAGCTAGGGTAAAGGCAGCACTGAGAAAGGGGAGTTGCAGCGGCAGGGGGGACGGCAAGGGTCCCCCTCCTTCACCAGCAGCGATTAACTCAGAACAAGCTGGGAGACAGCACTTTCCCCCTAAACCAGGGACTGCATTAAAAACATACAAACCTCAGGGTCAGCAGCTGCTTCACACACCCCATACAGAACCGCTGCAGCTTGCAGTTGAAGATCTCCCATCACTTGCTTTCTGTGCCTAACTAAGCTTTTTCTTCCTCCATTCTTCCCATGCCAATATTTTGGGATTACTTTATTCCTTAAAGAACACAACTACCCTTCTGCTTTAAGAAGGACACGCATTCCTTGACCTCCAGCCAAACTGAAACCAGCCTCAGGCACCCAGCCCAGCCAGCAAATGCCCTTGCAACGCTGCGGTAATGTCTTGCTGCTGGGTGCGAGGGCAGCGCAAAACACAGGAAACCAGGGAAGGGCTATATGCGTAAACTCCTGTCAAACAAACCGTCCTGGCGTCCTCTTCACAAACAGCACCCCACGACAAATAAACAGACATTAAAAGTCTCTCGGGCAGATCTGATCTGCAAACTCACAGCCTTTCAATGATTTGCATCTGTCCCGTCTTACACTAGATCAAGAAAGCCTGAGCACATGTTTCAAGCACATCATTCATCGTGAAAAATCATTATTTTACCCTAATTTGTGTCCTTTCGCTGCCATTCAGAGCTATCTAGGAATTTTCTAGATTATGCTTAAGTTTATTTGTATTGGTCAACAAGGATGTTTTGGTGGTTTTTTTTTTTCCTGGAGTTTATTTAAGCCCTCAAAGTTGTGCCTATCCTCCCATACTGATGTGGAGTTACGTGACTTTGGGGCTGGAGCTGCATTCTTTCAAAAGTCTTATCTTGAAAGGCAGCAGAGGAAACAGCTGTTTATAAGAGCTCTTGATGGCGTAACAGTTGTTTTGTCCCAAACCTCGTTTGGAACCAAGGTGAGCAAACCTACTGCCGTAAAGGACTTCTCAACTTGTGCACTGGCCACAATATTAACCACCATCAAGAGGACACGGCAGCCGGTAGGAAAGCTGCTAGGAAAAGCCCACAAACTATTTATGTGCTGAAAGTTTGAAACAGAAGAGCCTTGCAATCTGTGTCCTTGGGATATGATACTCCTCCTCTGGCAATGAGAAAAGAGAGAACAAGATTATAGCAAGAGTCCGCAGGAGGGACTGAATGAGGAGCAGGGCGACAGCCGAGCTCCGGTAGGGCTGCTCAGCCACATGAACAGGTCCAGTGCTCATGGGATTGCATGAGGCCACCAGAAAGACAGCTCATCCATTACTCAATGTCCCTGCAACCATCCTCAGCTCCTTCCAATTAAGAGTGTTATTCCCAGGAGAGAGCCATCCCTGGAAGACAGGGCAGACCCCTTGCTGCGACCCATGAAGCAGACCAAATTACCTGCGCCTGTGGCCATACCACCACGCACATCGGACCAAGGTCCAGCCACTGCCTACAGGTGTGTCTTGTGTGTCGGAGAGCAGTCAAGCTCCTGCTGTTTTAAGCCTGGGGCAGCGAGCTCGCCGGGTGTGTGGTTTGCTCACCTCCCAGCCCGCCCTTGAACACCTTCCAGTCGTGCAGGCAAGAGGCCGGGGTGCAGAGGAAAAGCTCCTCTCCTGGCTATCAGCCAAGCATTATACAGCACCAGCTCCCCGTATCCTGACTATAAGTATTTTGGGAAGCCAAATTACTTCATTACCAGCTGACATCCCCGACCTACTCGCTATTAAACAAGCTCACTGCTGGCCAGCCCCAGAGCTCATTACTCAGCGCTTTAATTTGCACATTGCCATCTACTAACCTGCTGGCACATCCAGGCAGCGCCCAAATTTTCATGCAGCTGAAGTGCTTACGCAAGCAGCCAAACACAAACGTACCTCTTCCACAAGTAGTTTGCTGTTATCTCTGAATTGGGACTGACACATGAGGAAATCCTCTGTATCATGGACATGCTATAGTTTCCATCCGGTGCTGGCAGCCCCGTGTCTCACGCCCACCTTCCACCCCATCCCTGCCTCCGCAGCACACGCTCCTGCACAGGACGCAGCACCGTGAGCACGGAGACGGCCCTGCTACCACTGGGGCTGCAGCTAACCCCAGCCACGGCACACGGGATGCCCGGGTACCAGGAGGCACAGCCAGTGCTGGGGATGCTCCAAACGTGACAGTGTGGCACATGAAGCTTGCAGGCACCGTGCCTGGCTTACACAGACATCTCAGCGGAGAGAGGGGCGGTGAAAAATACAGTTAAGAATAACCTGGAGGACAGGACTTATGTGAGAGAAGGCTGTAAGCGGAGACGGAGGAGCGGTGCCCCCGCCACCCCAATGCAGAAGGGGAAGGAGCATCCTCACCACACTCACCCTGATCCGCCGCATGGCCGTCACGATCTCCACCCGGCTGTTTGGCCGTGGCACATCCAGGCTCCCGATGTACTAGCGGGAAAGAAAGAGACGATTAGTTGAGTTTCCACAGCACTGGAAACCTCACAGACCCACCATGGCCTCGATGGCATCCCCGGAGAGAACCCAGGGTCGCTTCTGGGGAACAGGCGGCGTTTTGCCCACTGCACCTGAAGCCTTGCCAGCCTCCCACCACGAAGCTGTTCCCTCACCACAATGTTTCAAGGATTCAGCCACCCTCATTCTAACAATAAAATAACTTCAGTAATCAGGCCAGCAGGACTCATTCATCTATGCCATGATCAAAGTACAGAGGTATAATCCAATATCCCCTCGGCCGCACTGAGTCATCTATTATAGACCTGCATATTGGAATATCCCTAAAATAGCTGGGGCAACCTGTCCTGTGACAGGCCCTTCACTATTTAATCACAGCCCTGCCAAACCCTTGGCTGTTTTTGCAGCGATGCAGAGCCTCCAGGCCAAGCCTCCAGAATAAAGGAGCCGCTTTGCTATTCAAAGGGGACCAAAGGCAGCACTGCTGTGACCCAGCACGGAGAGACGCCGAACAAAAACCTTTTTAAAAATAAAATGGAAGAGGGCAGATTCAGAAGAAGGATCAGAAAACAGACAAGTGATGAAGAGTCAATGCAGAGCACTAAAAACGTGTAGTTAGAAGAAAAGCGTTTCGAGTCTATTTACTAGCCCCCTGTGATCCCACGCTTCATCTCGACACGAGCGCTGACGTAACCCTCGGCAGCGCAGCACGGGCACTAAAGCTGGCAGGGCTATGTGTTCCTGTGAACGCAGCCATAACCTTTGCTGACACTGTAAAAACCCAGGTCACTGGTTTCAAGCAGCACCGCTGAGACGGGTGTTTAAAAGGCCGAACATGTGCTAGGGGTTGTCGTACAGCCAGAGGCCGCAGAGAGGGGTTATTTCTCACCCAGCATCACTGCAGGACTCCTGGCTCCTCTCCGCTGGGATGCTGCTGCCACCTCTATGAAGGGCTCCTTGCTAGCCTTCCACACCCACACCCCAAACTCAACAAGCCCACCCGCACAGCGAGGCCATCCCCAGCCGCACAGCTCCTGCCCCGGGTGCAGACAGAGGCAAGCATCCAGCAACCGGCACCGGGCAGAGAGAGGATATAAAAATAAACACCAAACAGCTGGCGTGTTCGTCATGTGCTGAGCAGGCTGCCACAGTGCAGGGCAGCTTTATGTAACCGGGAATTAAAGCCCACGATGCACGCCACTGGCAAAGGCGGCATTAACTGCCCAGACCCCAACTGCTGAATGCCCGACTGCAAAAGCACAAGTCTTGATAAGTGTTCAGTTGCGTTCCCTAAATGGAGCCTTCCCACCCCTTCAAAGGTTCAGGTCACATTAAGAGAGGCGTCTTTGACATCAATCGATTCCCTTTTCTTATATAAAGCCTGGAAACCATCAGTAAAAGGCAGGAGATGAGGAGGAGGGCTGAGGCAGCCGGAGCCCTGGGCACACAGTCACTGTGCAGCACATAAGGGAGAAGCCTTTCCCCGTCTTCCCCTGCCAGGCGACCCCGTCTTGGCTCCGCAGCACCTCTCCCTCCGAGCCTCCCCACAGCGCTCTTCTGCTGGGGGCCACCCAGCACTGCTTCCCACTCTCCTGCAAGGGAGACCTCTTAACTTCAAGTGTGAGAAGGACAGACTTTTCCTAGCAAAAGGCACAGCCAGAGGATGCATGTCGTCTTCTAGCTATTCCCAACAGCACGAGGTCGCTGCTGCTGCAGGGGTAATCGCTTTCCTTGCACAGGCGAGCGCAGAGTACAGCCACGTGCAAGGACGGGGCAAGCGGTGGCAGCTACCAGCCGGGCAGGAGACAGCCCCGTCCGCTGCTGGCTCCCACAGCCACATGAATTCGAGCAATGCCAACCTCCTGGCTGACGACCACAACCTCGGCCAGCAGCAACACTCAGTCATGCCCGTAATTGCATGTGCGAGCCCGGCAGGGCTGTGCCACCCCATAAGCAAGTGATGGAGCAGAAACCAGACGCCACCTTGGACCTCCTTGGATGGCCCTGCTGAAAAACAGCACCAGCAGTAGGAAATGTCTCGATGCCATCCTACATAACGTCCCTTTATTCAGCTATTCCCCTCCAGCCCATGCTTGCAAGCACCTGAACCAAGGGGCTCAGGTCACAAACCATGCAGGATTCACCTCTGCTTCCAAACCTGGGCATCCTGCTGCATCCCGCACCCGGGTGTACGGCTGAACCAGAGCCCACAGCACCTCCAGCCTCAGCGTGGGCTCACTTCACACAATTACTGTGCTCACAGCTCCAAAAACACCCACCTCTTCCTCCACTTTGGAGGCAGGTATTTTTTGCGCATTTCACAAAACTCAACAGATGGACAAAGTCTCCCCAGATTACTTCTGCCTTCAGGGCAGAAATCACAAGCGGGAACTGCACTGCAGAGGAGTAGCCCTTCACAATGTGGTGAGTATCCTCCCAAAAATGTGGACTTGGAGGTCAGCCTTTCAGCTAAACTACTATTTCCAAGGCGAGGAGGGGGGTCGGCCTGAGAAACCACCCATATTTATTAGTGATTTGCAGGCAATAAGCGCACCGAGGGCTTCTCCTGCTCTGCTCCGCTCTCCTCCAACTCTCCCACTCACAGCACTGACCTTCATTTTGGGAAGAGGTGTGGGAAAAAGCAGGCGAGGCAGAGGCAAGGATCAGCAAAACAGCAGGAGCCTATGGGGTGGAGGACTACCCCCTCATCCCACCCCAACGCTGAGACCCAGGGACCCCCGAGCATGGGGGCTCCCAGACCCCAGGCATGGGCTTTTGCTTTCCTTTAAAATCTGTGTGCCCCAAGCGAGGTGCCAGGCATGGCAGTGGCCCTGGTCCCCGCAGGGGCTCCCAGGGCTCGGGCCAGCATCCGTACCAGCAGGTCAGCCCTGCGGGAAAGGGAGGCAGCAGGCCCGGGGAGGAGAAAGGAAGGCGCCTGAGACAAAAGGAAGGAAAATAAAGCTGTGTGAAAGAGAGCTGACAAAGAAAATAAACCCATGAAAGAACCCACCCTCCCCAAGCACCCGGGAACTGAGGAGGAGGAAACTATATGCACATATGCAGGACACAGCTTTCCCAAATAATCGCCTCCAGATCCGTGGCCCCACCGCCCTGCCAGTGGATGGGGGGCAGAGGTGGAGAGCACCCAAGAGCCAGGCGGGATTAGGGGGATCACCGATCCCTGCACTCTGAAGGCGGGGGAGCACGGCTGGCTCGGGGGGGGGGGCCCCCATTGGGCGGGGCAGTTTTTTCTGCCCGTTGCAGGCACCAGTGAATAGGCAGCTGAGGGGGTCCCTCCTGTAACGAGGCGCTCTGGCAGCCCCACAAAGGCAGCCCTCGCATTGCAAATGGCCAGAGCCACTCGGGGCTGCATTGCCCGGTGGCGCGGGCAGGCAGGCACAACGTACCTATTTTGCAGGGTGCCTTCCCCCCGCTCGCCCCGCCGCTCCTCATCCCCATGTGTGGGACCCAGCCGTCCATCGGTCCTTCCAGGGACCCTAGAAAGCGCAGCCCCTCGCCCTGCCTTTGCACAGGCTTGGCAGGCATCACCCATCGGGCTTCTCGGCACCCAAAGGGAGCTTGCTTGCTGTCCCCCTCCCATGCAAATACGCTCCCCTGTCTGTCGCAGGTACGGCTGCAAGGGGCCTCCAGACGCAGCCCACACCATGCAGCCTCCGCCCATGGCTTACAAAAGACCTGTCCAGTTCAGGGAAATACCAGTCCTCCCCAGCCCAGAGGACAAAAAACCAAGAAAACAAAGGAGAGCATTTTGCCAAAGCAATGTTTGCACAAGTCACTTAGTTTCTCATTTTTCCCTGCGGTTGTTTAATATCGCTCATTTTCTGCTCTGTCAGAAATGAATTTCCTTGAGAAGGTGCTTTTTCTGTTGACAGCAGGTGGTAGATATTTTTGGAAAACCGAAGGCCGATTGCATCCCTGAGATGGGGACACCTTCCAAGGGGTGTTGATGAGAGCCCTTGCGGGTGGCGGGAAGTGGTGGGGAGCGAAAGCCTTCCTGGAGAGGAGCTGCCACCTTCCCGAGGGAGGCACGCTGCCTCTCCGCCAGCCCGATACTGCGTGCAAAGGTCAGGGCTGAATCATGCCCAGCTTACAGGGGAGCCTAGATTGGCTGGCTGCCGGGTTTCCAGCTTCAAAAGCCACCCTGAGTCAGAGAGCTTGCCACGGATAAGAGCCACTGCTCCTGCAGAGGAGCTGCAGGCAGGCAGGCAGCGTGGCAGTGCAGGCAGAGGAGACACGCTGGTACCAGCCCCAGGCTGGGGCATCGCACCATGCAGCCATCCTCCGGGCCAGGAGAGCCTCGTCTGAGCAGGGGACCCTGCACCCAGGCTGGGGAGGGGTTACCGGAGGTACCAGCAGCCTGGCAGGAGGCATCAGATATGGGGCGCAAGGGTCACAAGATTTCTGAAGAATCTGGGACAGCGTCAGGCCACACCAGGTACTGGGACATCAGCCCCGTGACACACGGCTGTGCCACGAAGCAAGGGACGTGCTTGGGCGCCAGTCCCCAGCCACGCGCCCTGAGCCCGGAGATTTGAAATCTCTTTATTTCCCCGGTGTCCGGGGTAACACCCAGCCTCTCTGCAACCTGGCTGATAAGGGCTTCTCCTGGGGCTGCCGTGGTCAGGGAAAGCAAGGAGAAATCCAGTTCCTGGGGCTTTTGCTGTCCCAGTGCTCCCACTCTCCCATGCACAGCCTCCACCCGGGGAGCCACAGGGTGGGCTGGCATGGCCCCAGCTCTGCCCTGCACCCCAGGAACACCCAGCCTCGCTGGAAGGGAAGGGGGGAAGTTTACTCAGACCGCAGTGGTGTGGGCTCAGAGGCCAAAAGGGATGGAAAAGTCGGGACGCCAGCTGACTTCAATGGAAAAAAGTCTTGGCTTTCCAGCCTGAGCCCGGCAGGCGGGGGTAGCGGGCTCTCTGCTGAGCTGGAGGGCTCCAGCCCTGCCCAGTCCTCCC